GAAGAGCATCAACTTCTGAGTGACCAGAGCCACGATGCAGTTTCGGAGCCGTGAGATCACCTCCCGGTCAGACAAGGGAACCGGCTGAGGAAGGACAGAGGAAATAGAGATGAATACACTGGGAAATAACGCAAGTTTACTGTAAAAAAGCTTTGCCATGAACCTAATACTGAATCTTGAAAGTCTTAGGTTATTCACGTGCCTCTGACTAACAAAACATCGTTGGCAGGAGAAAGTTCATCTTCCCTGAACCCTCACCTCCAAGTTGGTGGTGAAGCCTCCTGCCTCTTCATCTTTCTGCTCTGGCGTTGGGTAGATCCAGATGAAACCGTTGTTGCCGAGGATCACAGATGCACCGCAGGGCAAGTCGTGGAAGTGAGTCTTCTGGCGTTTCACAAGGGAGGGCGAGACCTGAACGAGCACACCCTGGCCAAGCTGAAGAGGAGACCACGAGACACAGCATGAGAGACATGAGCCACCGTAGATAACATCAAATCACCGACATGCACTCCGCTTCTGGTCTAGGAACCAGTCAATTTTAGCACCTTTTCCTGTGAAACAGTGAATATAAGACCTGTTTGCCTCTGGGAGTGCTGGGAGGATTAGCTAATGCCTGTGCAGTCCTTTGAAGATGAAGAATACTCTAAGTGCTTAGCGCAAATGTTAATAATATCTTGATCGTAACTACACATCAACCATCCCTGCAGAAAAATGAGAAGTGAGAGGCCCAATTTAGCAGAACACTCTCCCTCTTAATCCAGTCGCTGTCCTTCACCCTTTGTGCAATAAGCACACTTTGCTTTCATCTTTTAAGTGCTAATACCCTTGGTCTGGTAATCCCAAACTGCAGTGTACGCTCCAATGGCCCCTTGGCTTATTTCAGTGCACAAAACCAGAGATAAATGCCAACTGCATAAAGCCTAAAATAGAGCCCTGGAGAGAGAAACAAGTCACAGGGGCAATGGCCTGCAGAAGAGTAGTGATGAAGTTTGAGGCAGAAGATTTTTCTCCCCAAGGCTTAATTCCCAAGCAGCTAGTGGGGGAAACGGGACTCACAGGCTGTAATTGTGGACAGGGAGAGCAGCAGCTCAAAGGGCAACTCAAGGGCACTCCCTCTGCTTTGGGGAAACTCTGCTCAGTGCCCCCATGTAGGAGCTAAGATTCTTCCGAACCTGCAGGAATGGGTTATAATGACATCCTGCTCTACTCCAGAGCTTTTTTCTTAAAAATCCCTCCAAAAGGCCTTATACAAGTGAACTGGAGCAGAATTAGGCCAAGACTGAGTGCTTTTGAACTTACCTTCCCATATTTCAGACTCCGGGTGTGCAGTGAGACAGCCCCATCAGAAAATACAGACTGGACTTCCGCCTGTCAGTGCCACTTAAGGAAACAAGGTCCCTAATGCTGCCCAGTGCCAACAGCCGCCGGCTGCCCCCGGCGGAGAGCTCTCACGACCAGACAGACTAGCTGAGGTCTGGCTGTTCTCCCCACACCCTTGGCTCTTCTGTCTGAGTGCAAGCAGCAGAAGGATACGCTGATGAGGTCCCCTTCCTGCAGATAGTCCCTCATGGCAAGCTCATCTTCTGCTGATCTCCTTCTCTGAAATGCACAAAAAAAAAGTTACGTGTAGCTCAGGATGAGAAAACATCAGTTAATACCTACATTGCGGGGGGACCTTAGGATGCCATGCAAAACGTAATCTGGTCACCAAAGGAAAATCAGGCAGACTAGCACATCTTTAGATCCCTGATGTGTTTATGTTAAATAACACTAAGAGTTAAAGATATCGCAGCACTACAGACCCACCCACAAAACCCAGCGCTACCCTTGTGCTGACTGTGGGAAGGGCTCCAGGGCTTTCCAGCTTCCCAGTGCCCCAGCTTCTGCCACGGCAGCGCAAGACGACAGGGCTGTGGCACCGCTCTGCGTGAGCTACACTCACCAGCTCCCCACCAGGTAAATTCATAGACGACAGCAGCAGGACTGAATCGAGCCTGGAATTCGTTTCCATGAGAAGAAAAATAATTTGATATACACTCAAAAATTGAACAGAAGCTCTTCAGCAGAGCGGGAGGTCCTGCAGCCAGCTGAGCCTGCAGGAGCAGACAGCTCTGCCGACTGCTTCCACCTCATCTTGTTTAAAACCCAGGCACTCGCAGGGCCTCAGTGCAGGGACACGAATGTGATTCAGGAACGTCAGAAGCACTCCGGATCGGACCGGGACACGCCAGCCTGGCAGCCGGCCAGCGGGCCACCCTCCTCCTCCACCGCAGGTCAGCAAACTCCAGCTTTACCTCCGTGATCCTCCCGACCACGATATCGCCAACTTCGCCGTTGTACCTGGGAGCGGGACAGAGAGAGCGCAGCCCGTCAAACGCCTCGTCCTCCCCGGAAAAGGGCCCAGCCCTCGCGCAGCGCAGATGGCGGGCTTCCCGCTCCCTGCGCGGGTGAGGCGCCCACGCTCACCTGGTCTTCAGCGCTTTGACGCACACCAGCTTGTTCACCCTCTCCACGGCGCCGGCCACCGAGGCGATGAGCTTCTCCTCTTCCACGTAGGTGCCGTGGCCCCTGCGGAGAGAGTGGCCGCCTGAGGAGAGCCCGAGGGCGGGCGACCCGCGGCCCCCCGCCCCGCC